GAGATGACGGATGATAGAATGCTTTGGAGGACGAAAACCCGGTGCGCCGACCCTACGGGAGTAGGATAAGGCAGGGGAGATGATGATGAACAGGAAGGACTAGCGAAGGTTTTTGAAACAAGTCACTTTGTTGTTTGACTGTAATGATAGAGATCACGAAGAAAACAACTCGATCATATGATTGTCTAAAATACAAATTACCCGTAATTTTAAAAGGATAGATGACGTAAAGTTTTCTAAACATTTTCAATGGCTACAAATCCGAAATTTATCTTGGTTTCCACACCATTTAACAAGAAAGTGCTGAGCCCGAAATCATAATATACGCGATCTAAGCGACCCACAAATGTACGGGAAATAAGTATTTTGTGTGTCCCATTCATCAGCTATTTTAAAATATCTGTTTTTATTTAACCATCTGCCTTTCCCAATTACTTATAAAAGAAAACACTTAATTTGCGAAAGGTTTCCTTAGATAGTTCACATATACTTCCTAACGCTAAAAAGAAATAAACACAATGATATTCAAAATTAAAGTAGTAAAAGTGTTGATTAAATATGTATTTAAAAATTTAATCGATAATAATTTATTATTTATACACTACGAAATAAAAACACTAGTATTCTGTGGGTTCTACTAAAGTATGCTATTGTTATTGTTATTGTCAATCGGGGACACATGGTAACAAACATCCATCCATCCACCTAAACTTTCGTAATTACTAAGATAAATAAACGTAATCTTTAAAACCCATTTTGTGTTCTAAGCTCGGATGTTATTTGTTTATAACTAAAGAATTTAATTCCGAGAAACCAATTCTAAAATAGTTGATATTTTTGTAATGATTATTTTAAAGCAGTAATGTATTTATTTCTACAAAAAAATCCTATAAATCCGGTGTAGGTTTTATTAAAATAAATGTACCGTATATCATTAAAAAGTTAAATCCCGCCGGCCATAACTATCGGTAAAAACCGATAATGCTGCATAAAAAGTACACTTTTCTGGCATCAAAGAGTAATAAAGTTATTCTAAAAGCGTCGTGTGGAAGAAAATTTTCCCAATAGATTGGATATATTCCAAAGTTTGTAATAATTTTGCTTAAACTCTCAAAGTTTAAATAACGTCAAAATCTGGCTACGTACGAGTATAGCTTTTGTTTAAATAAAATATATGGGCAGAATGACATGGATGTTTTTTGAATTCTACCTTATTACTCTGCCTAGATATATTTCTGTGTTTCCAACGTTATCTTTTTGTAGATACGAAAAACTATTATCCATAAGGTTCTTTTCTTAAAGACGTAAATAGTAATAAATGGCCTATTTTTTACAAATTATTAAGAAGTAAAACACGCTTCTTTATGTTCCTACATATGATGTCGGCATGCATATTTTTGAATATTTTTTTTGAAACGCCTATTAAACGCTTCAGGCGATATATTTTTTCCGCAATTAAACGTAGGTAGTGATTGAATTATAAAAAAAGTGGAATAAATAAATTTAGTCAAAGTTGGTTAATGAGATTATTTATTTTTAAAGCATTTTAACTTTTAACAATAAGCTGGATACAAAATCAAATTTACGATTTTTGTTTAAAGTAAATCTATAATACCTACACTAGAAAGTAATATGTACTTCTTTGAAGTAATATTTTGAAAGAAGTATAAAATGTTGAATATATCTTATATGCTATGTAATAAAGATTCCCATACACGCATGCAGCTGTAACAAATTATTGTTAAACTTGCGAATCAGCAACGATTTTTTTACATTTCTTATAAAAGTTAATTTTGAAAAAATCTACATAATGTGCTTAGAATTAAATTGTAACATGTAAGTGATAGTTTTATTACATAACAGGATCTGTATTCATATTACTAGACTAATAGAGTTACGGCGAAAATTTCAGTCTTTGCCTCATAAAAAAGATTCACTTCAACTAAACTTGGCTATGCGCAAACGTTTCGAAAGTATCATTCTGAGGCCACTCTGATAGTTTCATGACTGACATTTTCGGTGAGTTTTTAACTTTATTAATTTCTTTAATAAAGTTGTTTTTTCCTTGGCCAGATTTAGTTTCAATATTATATCTGTGATCACTCGAATGTTTCGAAATGAAATCAAAAATTTTATCCCAGAAATAGAGTTCGTTCCACAAAACTGATACACGTGTGTCACGATGATCCTTTAGGAAGGCGTAAATAGAATTATCAGATCCGGTGTCGAAGAATGTATAAATTGTATCTCTCGCTTTTAACATCTCTCCGCGTATCTTTTTAATATTAACTTTGCTATACTTCGTCATCAAGTAATTCGTTGAAAATATTACAACGGTGGCGGAAACTTCGCTTTTCTTACTGTTCAAAATGTTCATATAAGATTTTTTGGTATTCAAATCATTGATAGGTTTCAAAATGAAGGTTATATGACGTTGCGACAGTGATTTTACATTTTTGATATCTTGTAATCCGGGAACTACTTCTTTTAAAACAAATTCCTGATCAGCTATAGAATATTTGACTGCAATTGTGATTCCTTTGTTTTTATAATTGTTGTTAAATACACGTGACAAAATTTTCTTTACAAACTTAGGGAATTTCGGTGTGTAATGTAGTAGTAATAACAATGTTATGCCGTATAAGATTACTATAATGCCAATGACAAGACAAATTGTTTCCAAATAACAATTTAAGCCAAAAAGCCACATTTGACACTGTTCGTTATCGATGTTTGATATCTGAAAGTAAATATTCTTTTAGCGTTTAATGTTAAAATTTTATTGAAATGTTTTAATCTTCAATACAAACCTTGGTCTTCCAGTGAGTTTCTAGGTAATCAAGGAACTGTCTATTACTACATAGGCAGCTCAAATTGTTATTTCCAACCCATAATCTTTTGATTGGTGTTTTTATTGCTTCGTAGCTGTCAGATGATTCAGGTCCATCACTCTGAAACAATCTTACATCTTACAAATATTATAAATGCGAAAGATTAGATGGATGAATGGATGGATGGATGTTTGTTAGCGTTCGTAGCCTAAACGGTTGAACGGATCTCCATGAAATTTGGCACAGATATAAAACAAAGTCAGGAGTACATATGGGATAAGCTTCATCCCTGAGAAATGTCCGGTTCCCGAGGGACACGTAGCTTTTTGTAATTTATGTAGTTTGCATGTTTTCTAATACCACGCGGACGAAGTCGCGGGTAATAGCTCGTATATCATATTAAACAAACCATCCACATTTTATAGAAGCGAGTTTAGTAACAGACGATAACATACCCATAATTGTTTGATATAATTAAAACTTAAGTCAATGTTCTCATGGCCATTCGTCCACAAATCTTTAGAAACTTCTTTAATTTTATTATGACTTAAATTGAGCGTCTGTAAATTACGAGTGTGAATAAACGGCGAATTTATCCACTTGTTATTAACTAGTATTTTATTTTTAAAATCAAGTTCGTTGTATGCAAATGATATCGACAATCGTTGTTTATTATTTTCGAACAATGTCGATGATATCACTTTCAAGTTGTTTCTCTCCATGTTTAAGTACGTGAGACTTATTAATGGTAAGAATGTTAATCTGAAAAAAAAGTTATAAGAAAATCGTAAAATACAATTAATAAATTGTTTAACGTGTTTCTATTATCAAGATATACTAAAATTTGCCATCTATTGATTGTAAAAAATTACGATAGCTATATCAGTTTGGACTAAAGTTTGTAACCTGTTAAGTATAATCAGCTGATTAATATACGTCTTCGGTTTCACAATATGAATACAGGAATCCATCTTTACGCTTCTATCAATGAACTGGTATTGACGAATACATGCATATTATTGTTATAGATTATGCAGCTGACTGTACACAACTTAAACGTAAAATCAAATAAATTCTCACCCTGATATTTTAGTTATAGAGTTGCAACATAAATTCAATGTCTCCAGTCGTACTAATGATGAGAATAATTTAATATCGAGATCTTCTAACTTGTTGTAACTGATATCGAGTTCGAGTAGATTTATTTGATCATTAAAAACAGCTTTGGGTAGATTTTTAATATCATTATGCGCCAATGATATGTTTGTTATTTGAGACGAGTTGGTGAATACGTTGCAATATATTGTTTCTATACCACATCTCTGTATGTGAACTTGTTTCAGATGCGGCAAGTTTCGTAATAAATTTTTAGGAAGTTCTTTTATTTTCACGTCATTGTTTAAAATGATTAATGTCGAAAGTAACTTGTTCTGCGCAAACAAGTTATCCGGTAAAACGGAAAACTTATTTGAGAATAAAGTTAGTTTCTTTAGATTTCTTAATGGATAAAATGTACCCGATGGCAATGAGCTCAAATCGTTCGAACTCAAATCTAATTCTTCCAGTTTTCCAACACCATCAAAGAAATCGTGAGGTATTATTGATATGTTAGTTTGCCAAAGTGAGAATTTCTTTAATCCAATCAAATGTTCAAATACGTTGTTTGGCATTTTTGTCATTTGATTATGATAGATTTCAAGTGTATCCAATTTTCGTAACGGTTTAAATAATTCTTCAGATATATTAACAGATTTCATACGTAAGTTTAACCATTGAAGATTATTTAAATCCATAAAAAGATTATCAGGTAGAAATATTACACCGTTCACAGATATTAAAAGTTTAGTTAAATCTTCTAAACCAACAAAATGATTTCTTTTAAAATCCTGTGAAATGTTATTCTCATTTTGATATATTAAAGACATCGTTTTATTAACACCGATATTAGTTAAGACTTCTTCAAAAGAAGTATTTGGTAGTGGACAATTCTTAAAACTGACTGTCTTAAAATTATTACTGTGAATTTTTAAATTAGGTAACTTGTTATAATTCAAGAACGATGAGTTTCCACATTTGATGTTTACGTAAATGCCGGGTAGAACATCAATTTTCACATTCTGACCTGAAATGAAATGAAATAATAAACATATGTAAGTAATCTTTAAGTCTAGACATGTTCACAGATCGTGAACTTCAAGTTAGAACAAAGTTATTAAGAAAGAAAAGTACTTAAAGAGTACTAACCGCTTACGATGCAATCAACTTCTACGGCCAATGTACCGCCGCAAATACAGTTAGGGTAACCCGGGCACGTCTCCCTTTTAGCGTCAACGGCCTCGAGTGATAAAACCACTAATAACCAATATACTATATTACGAGCCATTGCAGCGATTTTTATGTTCATGTCTTCACTTTTACATTTCACTGGCTTTTGCTATTATAGTTCATTACCCTGTTTTCAATCCTGTAAAAAAGTTGGTATTATTCTAAAAAGAAAACATGAGAAAATTTGAGATTATAACATGTTTGCTTTTGTTTAAATCCCTTGTAGAAAAATCGTTCATTTCTATTTCTTCTTATGTATTTTGTTATAAAATAAAGTAATTAATCATTAATTGGTTTTAAGGTACTATTTACCATAAATAAATATAAAACATCACTAAAGTATATTATTATTAATCAATACAGGTGAGATTCCACTAAAATTCTTATTTCAATAATCGAAATTGAAATTTCCATTTATGTCTTTTTAAATATCAAAGTACATTTAAGCAAAAACCTATAAATTAATATGAAAATATTTCATGAAAGTAATATAGAATCTCTAACAATTACAGAGTTAGTTTGTAAAAGCTTAGAAGGACAGTAAGCCGAGAAAACTCGTCTTGTGTATCCGGCCGTCGGGCTTACGCGGAAATCGTCTTATATTTCATTGAATGCGAGCAACCTGCGTTCAAAACCCGTTGTCGACACTAATGGAATTACTGGCTTAGGTTTGGTATTACGAGATTCTCGCCTGACGAAACAAGGGTACCGCAACTTGAAATTGTTATAATTCATGTTTTCCTGTTAATGGTGTAAGTGCTGAAATAACAGATGTACTAATTTTTGCACAATCAATAAAAGGACTCAAAAACCATCACATTTACATATGGCTCTGCATACTTAATATATTTTAACTGTTAAAAGATTCCTTACTAGATAAAACCACAATTCTTGGTACTTTAAATTTACAGAATAATTTCATACATACTCATATAACTGGAAATGACCGAGTAATGACAGTACGATAGACCCATTATCAGTATTGACTCGAACCGTCACCATTATTGAATAGTAAATTGATATTGTAGGAGGGTAAAAAATAATATCGACTCTAACTGTATCGATACTCAAATTTTGTACCTATACAAATGGAAATAAGGTTCATTTTTCCATGTTACTTCATTGCACGTTCTTCGCATATGTTGGAAAAACGTCTTAGTTATGAAAAGATAGGCGAGGTTTCTTGTAAACTCCCTTTTGGAGTTTTAATCCACTTTACTTAAAAATATAGAATACCACAAATTATAGAAAGCAATTTTTAATGGCTGTAACACGTTTATAACTACAAATATTTACTTTATTATTACAACAAAATACTTTCATAAATCGATAAATTTCTGCAACGATAAAATAATGAAAATATAGGCTTTTAATGTAAATAAAATTTTAAAGCTTTCTACGTTCTAATTTTATAAAACACATTTAAAAACATATTTGACGGAATATTTAAACAAATTATAAGCAGTAAAGTTAGTTAAATTTAGCTAAGCTGAGCCATGTGGGTTTTTACGCATTCCAATTGAAAAATCGTGAAACGTTAGATTAAAAAACAACTAAAAAAAATACATACCTGTTGATTCCATCCATTACATAATTCTTGCAACCAGAAGTTTAAAATTGTTTACTTCAGTTGTTTGAAGAACTTAAAACAATTAAACAATTTTGAAATAATTGCGTAAAATATTCACTTAACACTGGCGTAGACGTCAGACCGCTACGTGCGCTACGCGACGACTAACTTGCTACGTGGGGATGCTACGGTTTCGACGCATGAACGTGTTGGTAATAGAGACGGCTCGGCTTCGATCGACTAGCGACGAGAGTTACCGAACCTTACTTGTTTACAAATTATGTCCACTCTCTAAAACACACTATTTTACATAATATGGGACCAAAAAGATCAATATCGCTTCATACTTGTAGGATATTAACGTAAAATGCCTTGTATTACTAACAGACTTGACGTTGATATATTTACGTTGGCACTTCAACTAAATGCGTTAATATTGTACTTTTTTGTTATTATTAAACAGTTATTTTAATTTACATATCTCGTAGCGAGGACACGACAAAAAATAAATACAGATAAGCACGGCTTGGTCTACAGACTTAGAAATTTACTGTCGCAAATTGAATAGAATAATTTATTACTTTACTCTAAAAGAGCGCGTGAATAGGTAGCCCATTACATTACATACACAATCGCCCATAAATCTTAGTATGTGCCTCCTATTGTTTAGAATCCCGACGTTTTGAATAACCCTTTGAAGTTGTGGGGAATTAGAGCTTCTCTTGTGTTAGATGTATTGTTAAGTTCTTAAAGAAATGGACGATAACTTACAGAGAGGTTAAAGTTATTGTAACCTTTTGTATTTTTATGGCATAGAAATAAATCGTGGATACAATTTAAAATGCCCTATATAAATATTTAAACGGGCGTTTTTAATAAAAAGCAATCTTTTTTACAAATTAACGTTCAACAAACGATTCGTAAATATTAAAAAAACATTGTAATACAATATTTTATATATTTTTTCACATTGAATAAATACTCGTTAGATAAATCTTAAAATATTTATAGTAAGGCGCTATTACTTATAACTAAGAGCCATGCTTAGATTACTTGTATTCGAGACGTTGCAGTCCCAGAATGTAACCATAAATTACAGAAACCTGTCGTGTGTCGCATGTCGTGTGTCGCTTATATGAAAATTCATTTAATTGGACATTGTACTTATTTACTTTATCCGCAACAAATAAATGTTTGATTTGGATTTTATTTATTTGTTTTCCACCTGAGACTGTCCTCGTATTTAAAAAAAATAACATGAAATAGCCTATGTGTTCTTCCAGATTTCCCTTTACTTTTATGTCAACATCGTGACCCGTGCAGCTTTTTAGGCTATAAACTCTAGCAAGCATCCATCCATTTGAACTTTCTAATGTTTAAAATTCTTAGAGTGTAAGTAAAGATAGATTAATCAACTGGTTCCATTTTTTTACATGTTATTATGCAATGTAGCTTTAAAATGATTTAAACCGGCAAAAGCGCCTACGCTCCATAATTCTATATTACTATTATTAAGCTCCCCTTACAATGACATTGAAGGTACATGTTGAATATTAATATCGTCAAAAGACGTCACGCCTATTCATTGGCATAAATAATTCATTAAGCCCCCGCAGACGGAGTTTCATTATAAAGCCCCTCAACGCGTTAATAGTACCTTACATGGGGATAATTTCTATTAAATTGTAATATATAATATTATTAGCTATTGCCCGCGACTTTGTGTTCGTAGAATTAAAAAAGTAGTCCATGGTTTCTAACAGACTATCGTCTACATGTATGCCTAATTTCATAGAAATCTGTTCATCACTTTAGGCTACAAACTCTACAAATATCCGTCCATCTAAACTTTCGCATTATAATATTAGTAAGATATAAGTTGTAACTACTAAAAATAACTGTTACAAAGTAATTGGACATTAAGTTCGAACTTAAGTGATTTAGAAATATCTTCAAGTAAGAAGAGCAAAGATTTGTTTATTTTAATCTTAACCTTAGATATACATATTCACAGATTTTTTTTATGTTGCAGTTAATGTAGATTTTTGTGCTATTATTAAACAGAGATATTAAACTTAACATTAGCAATAAAATATATTATAAATATATTGATATATATTTACGACATCGTGTGTAGAGCTGCCGCTAGTTTTAATGTAAGCGACAAGCCGTGGATGGAGTTATGCAACATATGACAAATAACCGATGTGTATCTTGCGTGATCGACGCAAGATCGCTGACGTCATCAAACGAGTATAACGCGGTCCGCAAGTCATCGTAAATAATGTAGAGTACGTTTACAGTCGAAGAAATATATCTGGCCTGGTGTGTGGCGCTGCTATCGTAGTTATGTGAAATATATGTAAAACCAACTTAGATATAAAAAATAATTAAATAAAAATATCAAGTTACGGTATGACATGTTATTACATTTTTTGACATAAATGGCGCTGATGATATTGCAATTTAGTCACTTATGCAGACCGGGCCGAATTAAGCGGGTGTTCTATAGTTCGCATTTCGAATGTTGCGTGTAATAACGTTCTTTGTGAATAAGTAACGCACTTTATTACTTGAATTTATTCTCCTAAAGTAAAATCTAGAGTTTATATCCCGATATGAATAATCCTTTTAACTAAGCGGTAATAAACTTGTAAATTAGATCTTAAGCTATAATATTAAAACCTAACCACAGCTGAATATTAAGTCTAATTTATACAACACGATTTATTTTAAAAAATCAGTCAAGGATAACTGAAATAGTTATAAATCCATCTATCTATACTATTATAATAAAGCGTAAACACACACTTCATTGTTGCCTAAGATGTCAGCAATTACAGCATATTTTTGAATAATTCTTTTTTAAATAAAAAAACCCTACACTTACGTCACGCTTTAGGCTATATATATTCACGCCATTAAACTTAGGGGATAAATGTTTTGGATAAAAACCCTAATGTGGGAAATAGACCATAAGTTGCTGCCAACATCAAAGAAGCAAGGTTACCATGCTTTGTCTTCATGTCATGTCATTTTAACATTTGCAATTGATAATTTGACACATGTAAACAATAAAATAATATTTTCATAATTTTATGCGGATGAAGTCGCACGGGAACAGCTAGTGTGACAATAAATTTAGAGTAAACTTTTCTTAAGTGAACATACAATTAATGTGAATATTATTATCTCAAAACTTTGCCGCTTGTTTCGCTATTATTAAAAATATGATGAAATAGACATGTGACTTCGGTCCCTATTCAAATGTATATTTCCCTGATATTCGGATGTTCAATTCGACCCTACGTAAGGGACGACGTTGCTGGAGCGATGTCAGCGACAAGGGACAATTATAATATATGCAGACCCAAATACCGACAATTTGCGTGTAGTAGAAATATGGACGTCGGACCGTAAAACAGAACCCGCCCTCGATTCACAAACCGTTATGGATATTGGTTCTCGACTATTTCTTATTTGGATTATGTTTAACGCGCTGTTTTGAATTAATACTTTCAGATCTGTTTATATCTAAATATTTGATAGACTATACTTAAATGTTAAAATCCTTACATTTCTGTCAAACATACGCGTTAATAGCTATACTTAGATTAATGGAAATTCTGCAAAAAGACGTAGTAAAGCACTTAAATGTCCGATAGTAGAATTAAATTGTGTAATTCCCGCGCATTCACCCCACTAACACTTAATCTAACTTATCTAATATAAACTACAAAGGCCAACCTTTTTTCATCCAACCGTCCCTCTTATTAGATAAATCGTATTTTAAAATGCTTCTTCTAACAAGAATAATAAATTCACAAAACAACACAATATTTTAAGAGTAAATCGAATTATTTGGTCCGTAACAAGAGTCATGTAGGCATAACCTACATACAGACAAGGAAGCATTCACAAGAGTATCATATTTAAGATTCGTTGAAGGAAGCTTTGTGTCAACTTTCGTAATAGCTAAAGATAAGATAGTTATAAGAACTCTTTTATTCATGTAATCATCTTTAGATGTTTTTAATTAAATAAAGTTAGTCTTAAACCACGCATCACAGCGTGAACACCTGTCTTTGCTTTTTAAAAAGGCTTTTGCCTTCGCCCACAACCTATCTGGCGCAGTCGGTACCTCGCGTTCTAAGTCGGTTCGAGTAAATTATAGCAGAAGCATCTGAAGATTTTACTTCGTTCCGGCCAAAGGCGCGAGAAGAATCTACGGTGGGCCTGGCATCAGACAGCGTGCGACTCAAAGAATATCATCTTTAGCCTTCAATCGGCAATGCTCGTGGGGTGAGTATATAATTTACTATTCCCGAGTTTCCTATCTTACCACTCCTACAGAATATTA